ACAAAAATCATAGAAACTTTCATTAAACCTAAGTATCGAAATGTGAAGCTACTGCTTCTTGACATATCCCCCATCTAGGTCTATATACCTCTGAAGGCAGTTTCCATCTCTCAAACTCTTTCCTGGTGTGGCACTCTAGGATAATAAGCACTGGACTTATCCTAGGTAACCACAAGTCAGCAGTTCCAACCCACCAACTGCTTCTCAGAAATTCTTTGCGGGCCTGCTATAAGATGGAACAGACTCAAACAACAAACAACAACTCTTCTCTGACAAATGTGAAGACTTCTGTGCTCTTTGGTTTATATTACATCAGAACAGCAGTTTTGGCCATCTCATCTGACTAAGACTGTGTTCTTTTGAAATGTTATTTGAGTCTGGGGAACAAAAAATTCTGAAGGGGCAATGTCAGAGCTATAGGGCTAATGGGTAAGTTTTTCCAACAAAATTCTTGTAGAATAGCTCTTGTTTATCCTGGGCATTCTGTTCCATTTCCTGCATCAATCTTTCATGTTGCTCAGCTATGGCCTGTGTTGCAGAATGGACCTTCTGATACATCATCTCTCCTTTTCTTGTTTGAATGGTGAACAGTTCTTCTCCCGTGTCACACATTCTTCCAGACTCAAATGTGAACCATGTTGAGTCCCGACTGTATCTCCTCAATGAGCTGAGGGGCCACATCACCAGCTTGACCTTGGCATTGTGGATATCCCAGAGATAGATATTCTCATGAGTGATCTGCATTGTACATGCACCATAAATATCCAGATTGTATGTAGGCATGAGGCACACGTTGAAACGTTCGTTCTGCTTGCGCTGTACGCCTGAGGCCAGCAGGTCCGGCTTCTCAGGATGTCGTTCAGCCTGGTCCCCAGACACTCCATGCAGAGATGTTTGCATCATTCCTCGGCCTTCAGCTCTGATTCACAGGCAAATGTCTTCAATGTTTCATCATGAAATATAATTGCTACTGCATGCATCTTTCTCTCTCGAGGCAGTCTGGTTATGCTTTTGATGTTATGCAGTTCAGTCACCTTATGGAAGTTTCTGAAATATGCTGCCTTTTCATCTGGAAACGTTTCTAGCCTTCTGAGTCCTTCACTGGAAGCCTTCTTGAAAACCAACCAGCACTGTCAGAAAATCCCCTGCTTCCTGCTGCGGAGCTTCATGTAGCCCTACTTGACTACGTCATTAAAGTTGGAGGCCATTGCTGGCGCGGGGGGCTGCTGTGCCCCAGCTCGGTCCCAAAGCGAGAGCCGCGTCTGCCCTAGGCTGCGGGACTAGCTCCGCTGCCTGTACTCCTAGCTGTGCTGGGCTGTGGGTGGCAGGGCCATGCAGACTGCATGATGTTCTTGATGTCATCCCACAACTCTTCTGGTCTTCAGACTTTAATGTTTAATGTATCAAATCTGTTCTTCAGATGATCTCTAAATTCAGGTGGGATGTAGTCAAAGTCCTATTCTGGCTCTCCTGCACTTGTTTTCATTTTCTTTACAGTTTGAATTTGCATATGAGTAATTGATGGTCTGTTCCACAGTCTGCCCCTGGCCTTGTTTTCACTGATGATATGGAGCTTTTCCATCGTCTCTTTCCGCCGATGTAGTTAATTTGATTTCTATGTATTC